TAGTTTTAATTTCTCAGGTCTTGAGTGGGAAGACCAGTTTCTGGTAGGAGACCCTACTCCAAGGAATATTGCCTGTTCCTTCCTATTTGGCGGTGGAAAGTGATCATTTGGTGCAGGGCGAGGGGGCAGTCCCAGGGGCGCTTTCCTGTTCACTCTTCCAGGAATGGGGCACAGGGAGTAGGGAAGGAGAAGGATGCACCTGCTGGCCTCTCTAGGGGAATTCCTGCAAAGATTTGCCACCCCCTCCCTTCCAACCAACGTCTCCCTTCTGCTCTGGGCAAGAACTACATTTTCTCTACTTTTAAACAGCCACATATGTGTGGTTCAAAAACTTATCACCACTCATCTGGATTGCTGCTGCCTGCTGTGGGAGAAGTTGCCTTTGAAGTCTACTTGGAAGTTGTAACTGGTGCAGAATTATCACAGTTTGTGTATTCAAGATCGGGGCCACTGCAGTAGGGGAATATTCAGTTGGCTTCTGAGTGAAATTCAGAGTGCTGGTTTTCTCATTTAAAGCTTTACGTGGCTTCGCACGGCGTTTTTGGCACAGAAGCCGCCTGCTGAATTGGTCGCATGTCCATGTTGCCAACATCTTTTAATGGCTCCCAGGCCATTAGGGTGAAGGGATGGGTGGCTTCCACTCAGGTTTTTCAGCTGCAGCTTCCTTGAAATGGGACAACTTCCTTCTGGAAATTGGTCTAGAGATTCCAAAAGCTTCTAAAATCTGAGTTGTTCCGGGAGCCCTTCAAGGAATAAATTGGGTGTGTTGTATTATTTTAGAATGACACATTTTTAAGTTTTATTTCATCCTTATAACATGTTTTGTTTTTACGATGTAAACTTCTGGGAGTTATTTTGGAGTCGGGGGGGTATATATAACAGTCAGGATCAGAAAAAGGAAAGGAGGCGAGATTGTCGTGCAGGAATACAAGCTAATTTGAGGGCTAATCCACATAGAGCTCCATTTCCATCTCTCCTGTTTGCCATCGTTGGCTCCCTAGAGACTAAATTGGACGATCTGAAACTTGAGCTGACCACGAACAAGGAGTGTATATTGGAGGTGGTGACCCTTTGAGAGCTGTATGCAACAAAATTTCATTTTGATGTATGCTGATTGGTGTACATTCAAAGTGACAATAAAGTTGTTGTTGTTGTTGTTGTTGTTGTTGTTGTTGTTATAGTTGGTCATCAGCTGACATCAAGTCATTCAATGACTATTCAGAATTATGCAGTGCTGGAAAAATGGATGTGCAGCGGTCATTGAAGTTCTGACTATTGCAGCTCCCGCATGACGTGATCGTGCCCCGAGTGCCCAGTGCCCGGCTCACTACTGCAATATTGCAGGGGAACTGCAGCCCTGGCAACGCCATTTGCCGCCTTCCCCAGTAGCTTCCCACAAGGACATCAATGGGGAAGCTGGCAGGGAAGGTCACAAGTCCCGCTTGTAAATCACTCCCACTTTCTCTCCCACCCCCAGCCTGTGCTGGCCCTCCCAGCCCCCCGATACTTGTGTGGGACCCCATGCTCCTTACCTGAGAGTCCCCCAATTCCCGTTAACCACTCACACATCCTGGTGTTACAACGGCAATCAGGACTGCCAGATTGTCGTTGTGAAGTGATGCAGTCAGGTGATGTCATGCTTTATAACTGCATCACTTAACAACAGCAGTCCCAATCTCCACTGCCATCATAACCCAGGCACTACATGTACAACAATCCATAACGGAAGAACTATGTGAGTTGTGGCAGGCCCTGCTTGGAAGAGGGGGGAGATGAGATGCGTTGTCTAATATAGTGCATGTTTAAACTTCTAAAATACTTGGCTTTGTTATTCATCAGACCACCTTTTTCAGGGCATGTTTGGGTACCATAAGCCATACTTTCCGTTGGGGTGTTCAGCTCCATTCCCTTACAGGTTTACTCAGTTCAATGGGACTTACTTCCAGGTAAGTCATAGAAGGTTGGATCCAGTGGTGGGATTCAAATAGGTGAACAACCGGTTCTCTGTGTGGATGCCGCTTCCGGAAGTCCATTCTGGGCCTGGGCAACAAAAAATTAGTTACCGGTTCTGCCGAAGTGGTACAAACCGGCTGAATCCCACTACTGGCTGGATCTTTAAACATGGCTAAATATTGGTAGGCAAATAGGATTCTTATCATTTCAGAGTGCGGCTTTTGATTTTGTTGGTTGTCGTAGGTGCTTTTGGTTTAGAACAGAGGCTTCGGACATCTCCCAAGCAAGACTCCTTGGAGATGCCTTCCTAGAGTAGGGATACTAAAGTGAAGAAAACCAAGCCTTCTCAGTCCAGGACGGGGCCCCAGCCTCCATTTGGAATCAGGCCGTGCCAGCCACTCTCACAGAACCATCCCCTCTCCTTCCCCACGCCAGGCCATCAAGCCAGAAGAGTTGGGGACCACTGGTCCAGGAGATAATACAGGTTTCAATAAAGGAGAATATTTGTAACTCACCGAGTGGAAATGAGGGGTCCTTGGTTGTTTTATTGCAGACATTTCATTACCCAAACTAGGTAACATCATTAGTGCTAGATTGTTGATGTTACCTTGTTTGGATAATTAAACATCTGCAAGAAAACAGCCCTGCTCAGAGACCACCAAGGAGCCCCTCATAATACCAGTTTTTATAGGGGGTGCATGCATAGGTGGCTATAACATGACTTCAGAAGTGTATTTTTTAAACTTGATGAATATTATCCAGTATTTATGCCCAAAGCCAAAGTGACTGCATTGACCACAAGGGGGACTACTCCAAATTCTTTTTTGAGAGCAGCTCAAGTTTTTCAGAATAATTGATTTGCATCTTGGAGCAAGAAAGGGGGAAAGCAAACGTGCCTAGTTAAATCCCCTGTGTGGGATCCTGCAGTCACACAGGTGGATTTGGTCAAGTATGGAAGCAGTCTTAGCACCAAGCGTCCTCCTATAGTTTTGGGGACAGAAAAAATAAATAGTTGGTAGTCTAGCTTGTTTCAGAAATGAGAAGTCAGAGCTGCTTTCCTCCTTCGTAGGGGACCCTGGGTGAGAAAGGGGCATGAAAAAGAGGAGACTAATCAACTGGGCGTTCTTTCTGCCTTGAAAGGCAGGACATAAATTTGATAAAGAAGCAGGGGAGAATAATGGGGGAGGGAGGGGGGCTAAGGTTATCTTAAGGAAGGATCCTCTTGGCATCCCATGTGCCAGTTTAGAAGGAAGCCAGCTGGCACATGGGCCCTTCTTGCGCCCAGGACATAGATCCCTGCTGGCAACCTTTTTCCCTGCCGTGTCCATCTGATACTGGCTTCATCACCTCCCAGCCTGCACCTGAGTCGAGCTAAAGTCATTCTTGGCTGATCTGGGGTTAAAGAAGTATCTCTTCCTTAGGATGGGGGTGGGGGAGGCAGGATTCACCAAATCCTTCTTGGCTGCCTTTCGTCTGGGCTCTCCCTTAAGCGCCTGGTTTCTAGAAAAGCCCCCACCAGGTGTGGAAGCCCAGCTAGCAGGAGGAGGGTTACATTGTGCAGCAGCAGAAGGGAGCCAAGTTGGGCGATGCCCCCGGGGCTTTCCTCTCTTCCAGCTGGTCAGGATCTGCGGGGACCTGACAGGCAGAGGCCTCTACTTTCACCTTTCACCAGCTGGAGTTCTGCAGGTTCAGCTGTCTCTCAAAGGGTTGCCAACCAGAACAGCAGCGCTCGGGTTGGGAAGCCCATCTTCCCCTGCCCGGTGGCAGCAGAAACTTTGGGACAGTAGCCCTTCGGACCTGAAGCTCTGTGCTCAGGTTAACCCAAGTAGCCAGAGTTGCAGGCTCTCTAGTGGGTACCACATTGGAGCAAGCTAAAACGATGAATGATAGAGTTGAGCAGTGCCTGTTGATAGGAGTTATTTGTTAACTTTATGGGGGCATGATGGCCTAACCCTGAGTGTTGACTGCAGGGTTGGCCGTTTGAGGGCCAAGTGACAGGGTGAGCTCCCATTTCTGCCTCAGCTCCTGCCCACCTAGAAGTCTAGAAATCATACAAGATGAAAGTAGATAAATAGGTACCATTTTGGTGGGAACCTAACCGTGCTCGGTGGCTTGGCGTATAGGGATGCTGGCCACATGACCACAGAACATGTTTTTGGACAACACTGGCTCTCTCGACTAAGAAATGGAGATAAGCAACATCCCCTGGAGTCTGACGTGATTGGACAGGGAAAACCTTCACCTTTTGGGGCAGAAGTTCAAAGAGTTATACATAAATCCCACCTCTTCGTTTTCCTGTAACCACAACCTGATAAGATAGGATAGGCTGAGCCGAGAGTAAGTGGGCTGATGGGGGACTGGAACGTGGGATAGGGGACACAAACTCAATTTGCCAGAACTGAAAATGGGTGTCAAGGCACAAACTCTGCCTGCCACCCCTTTATGTACCCCTTATTTACCCCTTATTTACACACAACATCCCAGGCACAACCCTTCAGAATGCAAAATTCTTCCCTCCAGAAGTTGTGGGGGCTCCATCCCTGGAGGCCCTTAAGAAGGGACTGGACACCCACTTGTCAGAACTGATACAGGCTCTCCTGCTGGAGCAGGGGGTTGGACTAGAAGACCTCCACGCTCCCTTCCAGCTATGTCAACCGGGGCAGAGTTGCACAATTGGGACGCTCCTTGCACCGGGGCATTCGGCCCTCCGGTCCTCTTCCGAGCCCTCAACCACAACGGAGGCGGAAAGCCCCTTCAGCGCTCAGGACAGCGGACCGGGGCGCAGAGGGAGGCGCGGGGCGGAGGCGGCCCCAGGGAGCAGCCGGTCGGGGGGGGGGCGGAGTCGGGCGCCGCCTCCGCCCGCCCTGCGCCTCGCGAGCTCCGTGCGGCTCTCAGCCCGGCCGACCGCGCAGGGTCGCTGTGGAGGAAGCCGGCGGGCGGCGGGCGGGGCGGGAGGCGGCCTCATCCGGCCGGCCACCTGCGCGCAGAGCCGCTCGCTCGCTCTGACCAGGGCCGGGAGCTGCGCCCGCGGCTGCTCTCGCTGGCTGGCCGGAAAGGGCCCCGCGGTGGGCGGCCCATGCCGGGACGGGGCGGCTGGCAGCGCGCCGGTCTGCTCGGGGGACGACGGCGGGAGCGGGACGCGCCGGACGAGGAGCTCCGGGGGCCCCGACGCGGCCTCGGGGTAAGAGACGGCGTGGGGGGCGGCGGCGTTTTTGGGCTCCCCCGCGGGAGCGGCTGGGCGCGGGGCTGCTCCTCCCCTTCGGGGCAGCCGCGCCGCCGGCCCCGCTCCTCGGACGCCCTGTCGATGCCCGCTTCCCGAGGGGAGGCCGGCTCTTCCCGGGCCCGGGCGTCGGGGTCCCGGCAGCGGCTGTCACGGGAGGGCCCGGCCGAGGCGCCGGTGGGGTCCCTCGGCGGGCCAGCTCGGCTGCAGCTGCTCCCGCGCGGGGGATTCTGGCGGCTCCCTCAGTCCCGCCGGGCGGAGGATCCCGCGCAGCCCCGCTTGGAAGCCCCGGCTCGGCTGCGGCGCGTGGCTCTCCGGCGTCCGCGGGCGGGGAGGCGGCCGGCGGAGTGCAGCGCCGTCCGGGGCGGTGGGGCCGGGACGGGACGGGACGGGACGGAGCCTCCCCCCCGGCCGGGCAGCTGCAGCCTTCGCGGGTCCCTAGGGCGTCCGGAGCTGCCCCAGGGAAGGAGCGGCCGCGCCGGAGAAGAGACGGCGGTTGTCCAGCCGTCTCGTGCTGAGCTCTGGCTGGGTGAAGCGGCCGCTTTTCCGTCGAGGAGGCCCTTGTAATTCTGCGAACAGCCAGGCTCTCCAGGGGGCTCTTGTGGCCTGGAGTGCCGCAGGCACTCTGTCCTGAGCCGGGGGGGGGCCTGGAGGGGGCCTCGGTCTGTGAATCTCTTGCCCGGGACAGGCAGAAGCCCGTACGGAGCTCTCAAGGGTGGCTCTGGACAGGACTCTCTCCCCCCAGCCTTAGGCCCAAAGGCTCCGGATGGCCCGGTGGAAAGTTTGTGTCCTGCCCGGCTGGTGTGGCTGAGGAGCCGGCCGGTGTCCTTAGAGACCCGGGCAGGCTGACTGAAAGGCCCCCAAAATGGGAAGGCAAATGACGGGAGTTCAGGGAAGCCTGTTGCTGCTGCTGCTGCTGCTGCTTTCCTGAGTGTTGGATCAAGTCTCAACGGCATATTTGGAGAGTGAGCAAGTCTGGCTGATCCCACCTGACTCCCTCACAGATGTCCCACTCTTCCTTCTCAGCTTTATTTAAGCTGTAACTTCCTCAAAGGGAAGATTATCTGTGCGTCTCATCCTTTCTGATACTTACTTTAAAGTGGAAGATCACCATTTATTATCTAATGTTGGGCTGCTGCGGGACTAATTCCTCCTTTAATAGTAAACACTTTGATTTGCTGGCACATCTATCTGTGTGGTTAAGGCTGCGTGTGCTACGGTGAGTGCACGGGAAAATATAAGGACTGTTTTAAAGAGATACGGATATGAGAAATTCTTTGGTGGGCTGTATCTTGCCGGGTTCCTAAAATGGCCGGGTGGCACTTGGGGCTTTTCATTGTCCCCACAGAGCCTGAAGGGAGACTGAGTCACCCCCGAACGGTCCTTCAGAACTGCGGCTCATGGTTGGCTGAGAAGCCTGTGCAAAAGCGAAGTAAAAAGAAAGTGAAGTGAAAGCCTGGTGGACTCTGGCTACCCTCGGAGCCTGCACTGGCAGATGGGCAGCTGAGACGCTCCTGCGCGGACTGCTGGGGGAGGGAGGCTCAGTGGCGGAGGCATGGGGGGGGGGCGGCTGAGCTCAGGCCTTGGTTCCCACTGACCTGCTTCTCCCATGCTGGCTTCTCCCCACTGCCGGCTGCCAAGAGACCCACCTGTTGGCACAGCCTCAGCCACCCCTGGGGGAACAGCTTTTGTCATAAGCTCAGGGGGGGGTCTTGGCCAGTCAGAGCATCTGCTGAGCCTGGGGGGGGGTATCTGTGATGGAAGGCATCCCCAAATGCCGGCCACACGGGCCCTTTCAGGGCAGGAAACAGTGCCAAGTACCAGAGAAGCTGCTTCTCTTTAGCTTTCCACGCTTGCTCTCATGACATCTAAACACAACTTCATGTGTCGCCTTTCTTTCTTTAACTTGGCACCTTTTTAAGGATTTCTAACTCTCAGGAATGAAGACAAATCTACGTGTCCCAGGATAATGTTGAAAGATCCAATCTGGGTCGGTCACTGGGACCAGTTTACTCTTCCATGATTTTGTCTGTCTTCTCCTTCACAATTCTTTCCTACATTTGTTTTTGTATTTGATCCTCACTACTTCTGCATGTCCCAACTACCGCAATATGCGTCTTTCATAGAGATCATTCAGTGCTGTATTTGGTTCATTACTTGTTCAATTCCATTCATACTTGATCCTGTCTCTTTTAGTTTCACCACTCACCTTTCTTAACTAGCCCGTTCCCTCTCATTGTATCCAACTTATTTTCCTGCTGCTCTTAATGTTAACTGTATTTCCTTATAACCCAGAGGGCAGAAGCACACTTTTACCAATAGCCATTTTACAGTTTATAGCAAGCATTGATTCCTTGCAACAGACAGTATTGATCTATAAATTGTCGATGTCATGAATTCTACTGACCACTGAATAGTTGGGGCCATATGTTTGTCTTCACAATACTGAACAATAGATCTTATAGCTGGAAGTAAGGTACATAAAATATGCTTTCTTTTTTCATGTAATAGGAATTTATTTGTATGTTTATTGTAGTAGCAAGATTGATGATTGCCTCACTCGGCATACATCTTAATACATTGCGATACTTTTCATTTATTTTTTCTGGGAGCATACCTAATAAAAACATTTGTGATTTTAATTTGAGTTCCAGAACTTTCTGAATGTTTTGGTGTATTTCTTTCTAGCACTTTTGAATCTTTTTGCATAAGCACCACATAGGTTAAAAGGTTCCTTCTTTGGATGGTATTTCCAACTTTTGGCTTTTCAACCAACAACGGAGCATCTTTGTATACAAAAATATGTGCATTTTTATGTCACCGACTAAGATCTCTAACAATAGTGAAAGTGTTCTTTATGTATTAACCATAAATGTATCCATCAAGGGAATATTACGCATCTTTGTCTTACTCTGTGCTCAGAGTTGAATCATATGCTAAGTAATCCATTGATTTTCACACATGCTTTATTTTCATCATAAATCCCTCTTACTACATTCAGCCACCAACTTTCACCACTCAATTATATCAAACATTTAGTGATCCAAGTGCATTTGCTTTATCATTTGGTTTGTGTAAATCAACAAATGTAAACTTTCTTACATCCGCACATTTCTCAGGGACCTTCTAAAGAAGAAAAGAGGCACGGGTTGCTTGTTCCCCTTCCTCATTCACCTTCAGGCGGAATTCTTCCAGTGGCCCCCAGGCACACCTCACAAACTCCCCTCCCTTCGGCTTTGTATTCACTTTCTCTTTGCACAGGGGAACAATCATCCCACACCAGCGCAATCCTCACACCCTTTTGGCAAATTGCAGTTATTCCCCAAACAAATCACAAGCATACTTTAGCATATAATTATCTATACCCTCTGTACCTGCAGCCTGCCATTTTTCAAAATTCTCAAGTATTTATGATTTTCTTTCTATTAAGTTTTCTTGAATGCTGACATTTATAATATTTGCTTCATATATCTGCACTTTAATTTTTAATTCAGTCTTCCACGTTGGAGTATTCTTGTTCAGCCCCCTTTCACATTTTCAAAACATATTTTAATTTCCATCAATAACTAAGACCATCTGTTGACCTCTCCCTAAGTTTTTCCAGATTTTGTTGGAGCCGGGATGGCTTTCACATTTGCTGCTGGAATTAGGTCAGCTTGTTCCCACTCATTTTGGATTATCTGTTTTCTGGGGAGGGGGACCATTTTTTTCAAACTTGCCTTGGTCTTCTTGCCTGGCCAGTGATTGGGAACAGCAGTGAGGTTTCCAGGATAGAAGAAGACAGTCCTTTTCTCCTTCCAGGCTGTGCTCTTTCATGCTGACTCTCTGGGAGCCCCTGATCCACGGAAGGCTCCTGGCATTGCAGGAGGGGGAATGGGAGAAGGAAAAAAATTACTTAATAATCCTCAGCCAAGAGTCTGGCCCCGATGCCTGGGGGAAGAGTCAATTCTTCCTACTCTTCGAAAAGGCCAGTAGGGTCGACACTGTCCATGTCTCCGGGGAGGGGTTCCATAGGGCAGAGGCGGCCTGCTTTCTGGGCCCTCCCCCACACGCGACATCTGCCCCTCTGCCAGATCTAGTGAGATGAGCAGAAGCCAGCAGGGAGAGACAGTCCTGTGAGTGAGCTGGCCTTGGCATGAAGACAGCCAGAACCTTGAAATGTGCTTGGAGCCCCCTGGGAGCCAGTGGGGGTCATAAAGTCTTATGGGGGTGTCCCCACTAAACTTATTCTCAGCCTTTCCTGATAAAAGAATTGCAGCAGGAATGGCCAGCCAGCATCCCCTGGGCAGCTCTGAAACTAACTGGGGACCAAATTCCATTTGCATGAGAGGAGGAGCCAAGTGGAAGATCCATTGATCCCTTAAGCGGAGAAGAGAAAGAGGCTCCAGCTGAGGGGGGGGGCAGTTGCTTCCAGGGATCCTGCCCAGCCCAGGAAGAAGCCCTGCTGTGGGAGGAAAAGCTTGGGCAGCCCCACCCTGGGGAAGTGGGTCAGGCTCCTTCCTAGGCTGAGCTCCATCCGAATCCCAGCCAGGCTTTGGAGGGCTTTGAGCTGCAGTTGGCTGCACACCTGTGGCCTTTTGGTGCTCGAGTGGAATTTTTCTGGTGGGGTGTGTGATTTCAAGTCTTATTTTGCCTGCAAATACTTTATGAATGATCATGCGGAGCGTTGCATTAATTTAAGAGCAATTGTACAAGGATTAGTGGGTGTTGCATTCTAATAGAAACTCCTTCAGTTAGCCAAGCACATTAGCCAAGAAATAAAAACAGTCCAAGAAATGAAACATTAAAAGGAAGAAATATTAAAAAGTCTTTCCAGTGTTCTCTCTCCCCCCCCCAATCTTCTTTCTATTAACTTGTTTCAGGCTGCTTTTGCAGCATAAACTTCCCTGCCAAGGTTGAACTTTCAGTTCTGGAGTTTGAAGGGAGAGAACCCATCATCCTCTCCATTTCCGAGTATCTAA